ACCTGGCCCCTCCTACCACATGAGGACACAGCAAGAAGTCTGTAAGGAGAGAGTCCTCACAGAGCCAGACGATGCTGACACCTGATGTTGGACTTCCAGCCTCCAGAACCGTGAAAATAAGTGCCTGTTATCTACAAGCCCCGCTATCGGTGGTACTTTGTTATAGCAGCCGAATGGACTAAGACACACTCCAAACGACAGGGCTGGGCATGGTTAGGCCAATCAGATTCTTTCCCAGGCCTGATTGGTCAGCTATACCTCTGAGACTGAAGCTGACTGAAAGCCTCAAAAATTCTTAAATTTAACTTAGCCCAACTTTATCCCTACCGTTTGTGTTCAAAGGACTGAACATTACAATGCCAGGTAGCTGAGGGGTCTGATTGTAACTGGAACCCAAGTTTGGCTGCCTGCAGCCATGAAAGCCAAACTCACAAGACAGATGCTGGTAAGAAGTGTTGTGGCACGACAGTCAAAGAAAGACCACTGGAGAATTGAGGGCCAAATAAGAGCCGTTTTATAGCCGGCCGACGTCTGATTTCGAACACCCCTGTGACAGAGTCTTCAGAAATCAGCCCCAACCTCCTTACACACACACCTTTTAAAGCTTAAAGCCACATTCCGGTATGCACTGGGGCAGAGCAAGTAGGCACATGCAGAAGCGAAAATATGCAGTTAGGCAGTTGGCTAATCTGGCTAATCTGGGAATCTGATCTTTCTTGGACATATCTTAGACATTTCCTGACCTTTCTTGGTCATATCTTAGACATTTATTGGTCCAGGGAGTATTCCAATTTACTGAGGTTATTTTGATCTCTATTCTGTTGATTACATTCTTTACAAAACAGGTTCAGCTAGAGGACACACAGTGACTTTCCCAATCACCAATTATGGAGCTATAAACAAGTTAGCACAACCATTTTCCAATCATCAATTATGGGGTTATAAACATGTCAGCACAAAAGGAAAGAGGTTTGTTCAAGTGCCAGTAACCTGAAGAGATGGGGGACTCGTCACAAAGCCCATCTCCACATCTCAGTGCAGGCAGAGGTTTTTATAAGGAGGGAGCAGGAAAGCAGAACAAAGAAATCAAGGGGAGGGGGCTGAAAGTTCTCTACATGCAGACCAGCACAGTCCATTCTGATAAGGATCTTGAAACTGGGCAAGTGGTGGTCTGGTGTGCATCACCCTGGTCTTCATCATCCTGGTTCTATGTCATCCTGGTTCTATGTCATCCTGGTTCTGTGGTTGAAGGTCAGCAAATCTCCTAGAACTGGGATAACTGAAAGTCGGAGTCTGTATTTTCTGAGTTAGTTCCTAATTCTTACACAAACATGCTGTTTATCTACAAGCTACATATTAGTCAGAGACAGCATTTACAGAAACAATGTCAAAAGAATTATGGGGGGTTACAATCCCCCACTGTTCCATGATGATCAGCCAGTAGATTTTCTGACCGTCAGAGTGGTTAACCAGACTGGTGTTCCTACCACACTCACTTAGGTTATGAAAGTGAAAATGTTGCTTGTTTATGACTAGTAGAAATTCTCTAAACCTCTGACAAGTGGAACAGGGATATTTTTTAATATCCCAATGTACAGTTTCCTTTATTTATAAATTGCACCCTCCCCACAACACATCCCTTTCACCTTTGGCTGAACCAAGGGCCTTAATCTCCCAAGGAAGAAGAACAAAGGAAAAGTCATTAGGTGAGGGAGGGGCAGAGATGACCCATGATCTCCGCCCCTCCCTCACCTAATGACTTTGGGAGGGAAACAAGCCGACAGAGAAACAAAGTTTGAAGAGTCAAATTTGGACATTCCAGTCACAGCTCCGCCCCATCGTGGCCCATCGAGGTGGTGTGAAAACTCCCCGTGGGTGGGTGAGGAAGCAGCAAGGAGCAGCGAGGATGTGGGCAGTTGAGTTGGAGAGATGGGCAGAAACACCACCTCCCCCTCTGCCTGTCCAGGCCCTCCACCCACCGCAGCTCCTCAGGGCCTGGGCCAGGCACGGGGCGAAGGGCTGAGGGCTCAGGACCTTAGAGAGGTGGGTGCAGGTGTGGCTGAACCCCAGTGGGGGGGTGGGACAAAGGAACCCTCCATGTCTGCCAGTGAGACCCCAGAGGCACAGCACAGGCACTCATGCCCAGTTGCCATCTGGGGGCACAGCAAGTTCTAAGGAAAGAGACGAGCTGAAAGAAGATTGGAACCTGAGTTTGCCTAAGCATTCACCCCCAAATGACTGACTTCACCTGACAGAGTGGATTTTAAATCCACAAGGCTGAAGTACCTAAAGGCAAGCCTGTTTCTGTCCAGCAGGCCAGGGGCCCTGAGGAAGGTGGGGGCCCTGGGGAAGCTCAGGGGGCCCTGGGGAAGGTCAAGGGGCCCTGGGGAAGGTCAGGGGACCCAGGGGAAGGTCAGGACCCTGAGGAAGGTGGGGGCCCTAGGGAAGGTGATGGCCCTGGGGAAGGTGGGGGCCCTGGGGAAGGTCGAGGGTCCTGGGGAAGGTGGGGGCCCTGGGGAAGGTGATGGCCCTGGGGAAGGTCGGGGCCCTGGGGAAGGTGGGGGCCCTGGGGAAGGTGGGGGGCCCTGGGGAAGGTGGGGGGTCCTGGGGAAGGTGGGGGCCCTGGGGAAGGTGGGGGGTCCTGGGGAAGGTGGGGGGTCCTGGGGAAGGTCAGGGGGCCCTGGGGAAGGTGCGGGCCCTGGGGAAGGTGGGGGGCCCTGGGGAAGGTGGGGGGCCCTGGGGAAGGTGGGGGGCCCTGGGGAAGGTGATGGCCCTGGGGAAGGTGGGGGCCCTGGGGAAGGTGGGGCCCCTGGGGAAGGTCGGGGCCCCTGGGGAAGGTGGGGGCCCTGGGGAAGGTGGGGGCCCTGGGGAAGGTCGGGGCCCCTGGGGAAGGTGGGGGCCCTGGGGAAGGTCGGGGCCCCTGGGGAAGATGGGGGCCCTGGGGACGGTGGGGGCCCTGGGGAAGGTGGGGGCCCTGGGGAAGGTGATGGCCCTGGGGAAGGTGGGGGCCCTGGGGAAGGTCGGGGCCCCTGGGGAAGGTGGGGGCCCTGGGGAAGGTCGGGGGCCCTGGGGGAAGGTCGGGGCCCGGGGGAAGGTGGGGGCCCTGGGGAAGGTGGGGGGCCCTGGGGAAGGTCGGGGCCCCTGGGGAAGGTCGGGGCCCTGGGGAAGGTGGGGGCCCTGGGGAAGGTCGGGGCCCTGGGGAAGGTGGGGGGCCCTGGGGAAGGTGGGGGGGCCCTGGGGAAGGTGGGGGGCCCTGGGGAAGGGGGGGCCCCTGGGGAAGGTGGGGGCCCTGGCGAAGGTGGGGGGCCCTGGCGAAGGTGGGGGCCCTGGGGAAGGTGGGGGCCCTGGGGAAGGTCGGGGCCCCTGGGGAAGGTCGGGGCCCCTGGGGAAGGTGGGGGCCCTGGGGAAGGTCGGGGCCTGGGGAAGGTGGGGGCCCCTGGGGAAGGTGGGGGGCCCTGGCGAAGGTGGGGGCCCTGGGGAAGGTGGGGGCCCCTGGGGAAGGTGGGGGGCCCTGGCGAAGGTGGGGGGCCCTGGGGAAGGTGATGGCCCTAGGGAAGGTCGGGGCCCCTGGGGAAGATGGGGGCCCTGAGGAAGGTCGGGGCCCTGAAGCAGTGAAGCAGCCCGTCCTCGCTCCTGCCTGGGTTACAGGGCGCTCTCACTCCTGTTCTGCTGCACCCCACACCATGTAGCCCGCGTGCGGTAGATCATGTTGCTCACCCGGCCTCTCTTGGGGCTTTTGTTTTACAAGCGCTGCTGTGGTAAACACCACCCCTAGCCCAGTGGCCAGCCTGGTCCCCGAGGCCCCCAGGACTGAGGAAGACAGCAGGGAGGCCTGGCTGGCCAACTCCACCTGGAGGACAGCCTCTGTTCAGACGTCCCCAAGTTCGGGAGGCCGGACTCCAGGGCCGGAAGGGCCCCCGGGGGGTCCCAGCTCAGTGAACCGACCAGCCGCTCATTCCTGCTCAAAGCACCCAGGGGACACCCATCGGCCCCCACCCCTGCAGAGCCAAGACTGGCTGAGCAGGCTGCCCCTTCTGCAAAGCAACAGCCCCTGCGCGGCCTCAGGCAGGGCTGGGAGAAACTGTGGGGACCGGCAGGCATACAAACCCGAGCTAACCACACGGCCCCAGTCCCCTCGGCCCCAGACTGCACCGGCTCATTCCCACAGGCCGCTGCTCAGCTGTGTGACACGGGCGAGCCAACAGCCCTCTCGAAGTCTCAGTCTCCTCGTCTGCAAAATGGGAGAGTCGGGACCACAGTCCTCTATCCCAGGTCATGGGGGCCAGGTGTTTCGGAGTTCCCATTCTGGGGAATGTGGGGACAGGTGCAGATATTGTACATCCTGTAACATCTCAGCCGTCCTCCTTAGTCAAACACAGTTCAGATTTCTACCGTGAAACAAAAAATATTCAAATTAAGTGGGATACATCAAAACTAGAAACTTGCACCAAGTCAGGTCAGGTTTCACCACCCAGCGAGTTAGGAAGAAGTTTCAATGTTCAGAGCATTTTGCACTTCACACTTCGGATGAGGTGTTAGAGCTGCGACGTTGTCCCCAGCCTGAGGACGACGGTCACTGCAGCTGCTCGGCTTGCTCAGGCTCCTCACCATAGCTCTGTGCTCCGGGACTGTCTTCATACCCATTTCACAGGCCGGACGGGAACCCAGGCGGAGGCAGCTGGGGAGGCGCTCGCTCGCGGTGACCCGGCTCTGCGGGGGTGGTCCGCTCCGCTTCAGAGCCTTGCGTGACGGCCCACCCTCCCACAGGGCTACCCCCCAGACCCCCCCCCCCCCATGAGAAAGAAGCAAGAAGGAAAGTGAAAGCAAAAGCCAAAGCCAGTTCTCGGAAAGCCCTGGTTTCCCAGAGGGAAGAGGAGGCGTGGACAGGCTTTTCTGAGGAGCAAGGAGCAACCGGTGCTCAGAATAGAAGCACCTTTGCCCCAGTCCATAAAACCCGCTGGACACCCAGCACTTTCGTCTTTGTCCCCGGCAGCCCGGCAGCCCGGCAGCCCCGACGGGCCGACGCTCACAGGGCCCTGCTGGACCTGGAGGCCCCGAGCAGTGAGGACAGACGGCAAGGATGTGAGTCCGGCTCCACTCGGGACCTGAGGCCACAGTGAGAGCGGTGGGGTGGGGGGCGCAGGCAGAGGGGGGAGGGCTGCACCAGGGCCTGAGGGACAGGGTGCGGAGGGGTCGGTACAGACAGGACCGGAGAGAGGAGGGTGGGGGAGAGCGAGAGGAACATCGATGCGTTGTTCCACTTCTTAATCCACTTATTATTATTTTTAATTTTTAAGTTAATTTATTTTTGTTACAGATGTTTCTCCTTTTCCCCCCATTGACGCCCTCCTCCCGACCACCACCCTGCCCCCGCACCTGTCCTCCATATCGTTGTCTGTGTCCATGGATACACATACATGCATATAAGTTCTGTGGTTTATCTCTTCCCTCCCCCTCACCCCCCTCCTGAGGTTTGTCAGTCTGTACCCTCATTCTATTTCTTTGAGTCTAAACTCATTGATTCTTGTATGTGCCCTGACTGGGGATCATACCTGCAAACTTGGCATATTGGGACCGTGCTCTAACCAACGGAGCTACCTGGCCATTGGGACCGTGCTCTAACCAACTGAGCTACCTGGCCACTGGGACTGTGCTCTAACCAACTGAGCTACCTGGCCATTGGGACCGTGCTCTAACCAACGGAGCTACCTGGCCAGGACTGAAGTTCAAATTCTTTACTGATAAATCAGGGCAGGAATGTCTCCCTCACGGGCCATTTGAAGTTTAAATGAAAACCTGATTAAGAGTGTGATTTGACTAACCAAGTCCCATCTTTCCCTCGGTGGGCCGGGGACCCCAGAATGTGGGAGACTGCTAGGCGCAGGTGTTTCCCGGGGAGTTCTCTACTGGAGAAGCTTAGGGGTGTCGTCTTTGTGGAAGGGAAGAGGCTGGGTGCGTTGCCTGGGGAGTGCAAAGCCAGCCCATGTCTCCTGGGCTGCAGGTTTGTTGGGGTAGTTGCAGGAAGGAGGGGGAGCTGGTGATAAAGATCAAGGACTGTCCCCAAGCTGTGTTTGCAGGGTAAGCTGTATTTTTCCTTTTCTTTTCTTTTATTTTCTTTTCTTTTCTTTTCTTTTCTTTTCTTTTCTTTTCTTTTCTTTTCTTTAATCCTCATCTGAGGATATATTTTTCCATTTTTTTATCTTCAAACAGAGTGGAAGGGAGAATACAGATGAATTTTATTCTTTGTTTTTAAATTTTCTTTTTAAAAATATGTTTTTATTGATTTTTTAGAGAGACAGGGAGAGAGAAATAGAAACATCAATGTGAGAGAGCAACATCGATCGGCCCCCTCCTGCAAGCCCTCTGCTGGGGATGGAGCCACAACCCCGGGCATGTGCCCTGACCGGGAATTGAACCCAGGACCCTTTGGTCTGTGGGCCGACGCTTGAACTGCTGAGCCACACCAACCAGGGTCCAAATGATCATTTAAACAATCAAGTTAAATCAGGGCTCCTGCTATCCCATATGGTGCCTTAGGGTTTGTTAGAAAAAGCCCACAGTGGGTGCAGCTCTGTGAATACCAACTCCACAAATGGATGATGACTGTGTGCAATCAATCAATCAATCAATCAATCACAGTGCCCCTCTCTCCAGACAGACACAGCACCTCCCCCCACTCCTGGCCCCCAGGTCTCACCACTTGGCAATAGATTCTGAAATGGATTTCAGACCCCACCTGTATGCTCAGACATGACCTTTTGCAGTTCTTATAATATTATTATGTCCTTGGGAATATAATCTGTTCAATGGGGTCATATAAATTATTGTCTTGTTTTGTGAAGATGATCTTTTAATTATTACAATCAATTTGTTCATTATAGTCAATGGCTGGAAACAACTCAAACATATCAACTGATAGAAGAAGAGATAAGCATTTTGCAGTGTATTTATATAATGAAATTCTACATAGCAATCTTTTTTTAAAAACTACTGATTCACTTTTTTTTTTACAGATAATTCTTTTTTTATATATATTATTTTTGTTACAGATGTTTCTCCTTTTTTACCCCATTGACACCCTCCTCCCCATCCCCCCCCTTCCCCAGCTTTGTTGTCCATGTCCATTGGTTATGTGTACATGCATATAAGTTCTGTGGTTTATCTCTTCCCTCCCCCCACCACCACCTCTTCTGAGGGTTGAAGGTTGTCAGTCTGTACCCCACTTCCATGTCTCTGGGTTTACCCTATTCCTCAGACTATTATGTTCATTATATTCCACAAATAAGTGAGATGTGGTATTTGTCTTTTTCTGCTTGGCCTGTCTCACTTAGGATAATAATTTCCAGGTCCTTCCATGTTGTCTCAAAGGATAAGAGATCTTTCTTTCTTACCGCTGCATAGTACTCCATTGTGTATACGTACCACAGTGTTTTTATCCATTCGTCTACTGATGGACATTTGGGCTGTTTCCAGATCTTAGCAATTATAAATAGTGCTGCTATGAACATGGGGGTACATATATTCTTTCTGATTGGTGTTTCAGGCTTCTGAGGGTATATTCCTAGAAGCGGGATCACTGGGTCAAATGGAAGTTCAATTTTTAATTTTTTGAGGTAACACCATATTGTTTTCCATAGTGGCTGCACCAGTCTGCATTCCCACCAGCAGTGCACTAGAGTCCCCTTTGCTCCACACCCTCGCCAACACTTGTTTGATGATTTGTTGATGGCAGCCATTCTGACATAAAAACTCCTTCTGCTCTACATCGTGGTCTGGGTGGGGATTATATCTCAACATTTATTGAGCTGAGAACTTCGATTTGTGTACACGCCTCAGTATAAAGTGGAAGAACTGGTTCGCAAACAGCCCACGGCGAGTGTTTCACCACTGGTTTGATTCCACACAGCAGAGGTCCCTGCGTGCGTGGATTTCATAAGCGTCCGTAGCACCTGCGGTCACCTTGTTTTCCATGTTTCCAACAGAAAGTCCTTTGACTCCTGGGGGCGACACCTTTAATTCTCCCGTGGACAAAATGAGCATGGATTTGGAGGTACTCAAGCTGCTGGCTGCCCAGTCAGGGTAAGAAAATGAGGCTGGCGTTGGTTTGCAGAGGTAACGCAGCGAGCTCTGTCCCTGGGGCAGGGCGACATCTTCCCCAGCTGCAGGCATGCTCATGACAGGTGATGTGCGCCGAAGGGCTCGTCACACCGTGGGCCCTGTCTTCCCACTCAGGAAGGTATATTCTCCCAGAGAAAAAAATATTCCACCGGGTAAGCTGAATATTTTGGAGAGCAAGTCAAGATCTAATTAGGTACATGACATTGAGCAATGGGACCCCAAGGGTATAAATGTCCCACTGGGGGGCCCACCTTTGTGAGACCCGTGAAGCAGGAAATCAGCCCCTTAGGCTCACAGGCGCCACGAGAGCCCTGGCGTGTTGCTGCACCTGAACTTGAGCAGGTCACCTGCTTGTCGGCAGAGGCGGCAGCAGCGCCTCAGCGCACGGTGGCCGATCGGCGCATGTTCGCTGGGTGACTTCCCTGAACCGTGTGTTGTACCTCGAAGAACCAGGTTGCAATTTGACACAATGTCAGTGGACGCCGGTGCCTAATACAGGATGTACTGTGGCCACAATGTCCATATTTGAGGCATTTGGTTGAATTAAAAAACACAAGAAGTCAAGCTTGCCTTAGCTGTCAAAGTTAAAGACGCGTTAGAGACAAGACTTTAAATTAATGCAAAGTGGTGTTGTCAATAGTTGCAACAACACATCAATTTGTTGTTTCTCTTTGTCTCCACAAACCTGGGAAAGCTGAGGATCGAGGTGGGCTGGACGGTGGCACGTGTAAAGTTTGGGGTTCCTCCTCACCTTCATCCCCCCTTCCCCACTGTAGCCCCTGGCAACCTTCTGCTCTGTAAACTGATACACAGCTGCTGCTGAACTGATCATTGCGCTTAATTCATTAATTCATAACACTAAAGGGTTTCCTTGGCAGCGTATTTGGTTTTGAGCCGTTTCCATTAAGGAATGTGCGTGCGCGCGTGCTCGTGCGTGTGTGAGAGACTGAAGGGTATATTTGCATATACCTCAGTGAGGACTCCCCGACATTCAGACGGATGAGAGGCAGCTGGAACACTGCTGGCCCTGGGCTCCTGCCCCATTCACATGTGGCTTTGGACAGTCCCCTTTCCTCCCTGGACTTCCCTTTGCTCCCCCCAAAAGTAAACACGGCAGCTCTGATCCTCTCCAGGTTCCTTCCAGCCCTCCTCCTCCTCCTCCTCCCCCTCCCCCTCCTCCCTCTCCCCCTCCTCCTCCTCCCCCTTTCCCTTCCTTCCTCTCCTCCCCCTCCCCATCCTCCTTCCCCTCCCCCTTCTCCTTCCTTTCCCTCCTCCCCTTCCCCCTCCCCCTGGCCCACCCTCCTCCCCCTCCCCTTCTTCCTCCTCCCCCTCCCCTGTCCTCCTTCCCCTCCCCCTTCTCCTTCCTTTCCCTCCTCCCCTTCCCCCTCCCCCTGGCCCACCCTCCTCCCCCTCCCCTTCTTCCTCCTCCTCCTCCCCCTCCTCCCCTGCCCCCTTCTCCTTCCTTCCCCTCCTCCCCTTCCCCCTCCTCCTGGCCCACCCTCCTCCCCCTCCCCTTCTTCCTCCTCCCCCTCCTCCCCCTTCTCCCTCCTCCCCCTCCTCCCCCTGCCCCTTCTCCTTCCTTCCCCTCCTCTCCCCCTCTCCTGTCCTCTTCTCCCTCCTCTCCCCCTTCCCCCTCCTCTCCCCTTTCTTCCCCTCCTCTCCCCCTCTCCTGTCCTCTTCTCCCTCCTCTCCCCCTTCCCCCTCCTCTCCCCTTTCTTCCCCTCCTCTCCCCCTCCCCTGTCCTTCTCCCCCTCCTTCTTCCCCTTTCCCCCCCTCCTCCCCCTTCCCCATTTCCCCTCCCTCCTCCCCCTCCTCCTCCTCTTCTTCTTCTCTTCTCCCCCATCACTTCCATCTGTCTGAGATATCATGTTCATTCTTCCATGTATCAAAAGGCACACTGAGCGATGGATGTCTGGTTGGCCGAAGACATCTGTTCCCACACCTGTGTGCTCTTTGCCTCTGACGCTCCTCCTGAGGCCGGGAATCTGTGGTGCCAGACCTCCTAACCTCGCCCGAAGGACAGGCCAACGGCCTTGGCACGAGGAAAGTGCCCAAAGGATGGGCTCCCCTCACCCCTGTCCTGCTCTCCCAGGGAGGACGCACGCAGCTGGGCTGGCGAAGGTCCCCTAATACTTCACACTGAGATATGAGGGGAGCAGGACCTGGGCCCCCTCATTCCTGACTGCTTTCATGAAGGACCAATCTCACCTGCTTGAGGGGTCAAGTAAAGCTGGCCAAGTGCCAAGGAGAATGTTCAGAACACTGCTGGTCACTTGTCTTGGTCCCGTTGGTAGGCTCCTCCTGACAGAAGCGGACACACCGTAGTCGCGAAGGTCATCAAAGTGGAGGGTGCCTCATACAATGTGGCGCCTCATCCTCCGGCTCACCTCTACCTGTGCAGAACTTCCAACCTCCTGCCCAACACCTGGGCGCCTCTTTCTCCGACTTTCCCGGACCTCCCTCCGTTAGTCCTGACCTTGACTCGGGTCTGTCCCCTCTGCCTCCTGTTGGTGGCAGTGTCATAGTCTCTCTGAACAAGCCGCAGGTACAGTCAGGGTTAAGCTCCTTTCTCCATTTCTTTGGCCAAGCCTGCGTTTCTCCCATGTGTCCCTCCACGTGCCCCCCGTGCGTGTTTCTTCTCGTCATGGAGCCAGCAGCTCCCCACACCACTCGGGGACTTCTCACGGTCAGGCTGGAGATAACAGACATGTTCGGGAGGTGCGGGGGGTTCCTAGTTGGGAGGGGCACGAACGCCCAGAAACCATCTGGGCCTAAGAATTCGGCTTCCCCTCTGGGAGACTGAAGCCAAACCTTCATTCTGTTCATCCACAGAGATGACGATGACATTCTTCTGGGTGAAGATGTGGAGCAACAAGATATAGATCTGTCCATTGACAAAGAAATATTTTTGAAAGAGTTTCCTAGCTATAAACGGGAACTAGAAGTGGCCATCAAAAAGCATCGTGACCTTGCAGATGACCTCGACAAAACCAAAAAAAATTTCACCAAGGCCAGCCTGGTGACCAGCTCCATTGCCGTCACCTCCGGAGCAATGACCATCCTGGGTTTAGCCCTCGCTCCAGCAACAGCAGGAGGAAGCCTGATACTTTCTGCTGCTGGTAAAGGTTTGGGGACACTAGCTGGGGCCAGCGTCATCCTGAGCAACATTTTGGAATGCGCTCACAATAAAAAAGCCCAAGCTAAGGTCGGCAGCCAAGGGCCTACCCTTGACCAAAAGGTCAAGGACAACGTAGAAAAGGCATCCTGTGTCCTGACCACCGCCGGGAAGACGGCCCTTGCTTGTACAAGAGCCGTGAAAGACATCAAGAATGACATCCGCGCCTTTAAGATAGCCAGAGCCCACCCGCGCCTGGCCGCTGCCGCCACGCGCCTCCTGACCACTGGCCCAGTCTCCGCCCGCAGGAGCAGGCAGGTGCAAAAGGTGTTTGGCGGTACAAGCCTAGCGATGCGGAGCAGTACTCGCTTGGTAAGCGGTGTGATGTCTGGCTTGTTCCTCGGCCTGGACTTGAAGAGCCTCCAGAATGACTATAAGCAACTGAAGGAGGGCGTCAGGTCGGAGTATGCAGAGGAGCTGAGGGCCAAGGCTGACGAGCTGGAGAGAATCCTGACGGAACTCACCCAGCTCTACGAGAGGCTGCAGCAGGTGAGGCTGTGCCCCCCTCGGGTGGGGCCGAGTGAGGGGGGGCGGGACTGGGGCTCATGGGCACCACGGTTTACGGGAAGGGTGCTAAGGAGGCCAGTGGGTGTGGAGTTGGCATGGATGTTCCTGAGGCCGTGGGGCTCCGGAGAGAACGGTGCTTGTCCTGAACAGACCGGGCCATGCTTTCTGTTTCTCCCTCGATGTCCCCTGAGGTCCCTGGACTGGACAGAAGAGGACACTGAGTCACAGGGAGTGTTAGGGACTGGAATGTGTCCCCCTAATACTCATATGTTAAAGCTCCAGTGTGACTATTAGGAGATGACGCTTTGGGGAGGTAACTGGGGTTGAATGAGGTCGTAGGATGGGGCCATAATCCTACAGGACTGGTGTCCTTATGAGAGGAGGAGGACACACAAGAGGCATATCCCCCTGCCTGCACGCGCAGCGGAAAGACCAGGGGAGGGTATGGTGAGAAGGTGGCATCTGCAAGCAGAAGAGAGCCCTCACCAGGAACCTCACGGCCGGCGCCTTGCTGTGGGCTTGCAGCCTCGGACCATGAGAAGACGCGAGCCTGGTGTTTAAGCCCACAGCCTGTGCTACTGTGCTGTGGGGGCCCGAGTCCGACAGGCAGCTGGTGTGACCGGCCGAGCTCTCCCAGCTGGGTGGAGGTGGAGTCGGGGGGACAGAGCTGGGAGCCCCACAGCTCTCCTGTGACTGGTCTTTCTGTTTCTTTACTGACATTCTTGCAGGAAAAATGATCCTTGGATACTCTGCCTCAGCCAGGCATGGGGAAGCAGGACCCCAGGCGACAGGTGAGGACGAAGGCAGGCTAAGCCCCGCGGCCTCGGAGTGGAATAAAAGGGGACAGGGTGGGGCAGGCAAGGTTGGCAGAGAAAATGCCTGGAAACTTACTAGCTGGGAGGGCACAGCCAGCCGGTGACTGCTGTGAAGGTTGGCCTGTCCCCCTCCTTCATTGCCACGCCCCTCTTCCTTCATGGGGGTGGGAGGCACTAATGCAGTCACTCTGCTTCCTTGGTCCCCATTCACTCTCCCACAGTCCGCCCGCATGGTTGTCTCACGCTAGGCTCTGCGTGAAGTGCTGATGATGAGACAGTAGGGTCCCTGATGTGAGGGTGTCAACTGGACAGGAAAGAGGCCTTTCAAAGCGACAGGGAAGCAGTTGTTTGTTTCAGTTCACTAAGAATCGCTGTCCAGGAATCATTAATCCAGGTAGAAACCCAAATAATATTCTGATTCGGAGACAAAGGCACAGGGTATTGATGAGACCGGAAGGGGAACAACCCGATCAGTAGAAGGCAGGCATTTCTATTGGTGCAGATAACATAACATAGCGATGTTCATTCTAAACACTGTTCTTAATTTTTCGTCCGGTAGTCATCAGTCCAGTAGTCACAATAACTGCTTTCTTGTTACCTTTGCAAACAGTTTTTTGGGGTACAAGACTGCTTAGGCCCGGTCCGAAGTTCATTCCAACAGTCCCAAGATTTGGGGCGTTTTGAGCACGAGGCCGCTCCCGCTCCACCTTAAAGTGGCTCTGTTCCCACTACGTTAACAAGGGTAGGCTGTGTGCTCCTGCTTCTGCTTCAACTCACCGTGTTTTCTCTGCTCTCTTCCTCCCTCCCCTGGGCAGCAGCCGCTGGGCAAGATCCTCCTTTGTTTGCCCACAAAAGGATGTCACTGGAACCTGCTGGACCAGATTCCATTAGGAAAGAGAGGGGCCCTGTTGTCCCCAAGACCCAAAGCTCCTCAGGAATTTCCTGGCTTCTCAATTCACCTGCCTTCAACGTGTGTTTGGCTTTTCTGGTTTTAGCTGCTCTCTTGAAAGTGATGAATTGGTATTAAATACAGTTTGTTTGTTTTTTAATTCCGGAAACTAAAATCTAGGGGGAAGAAATAATGTACCAATCAAGGGTGTCGACGGTTGGTAGTTTAGTGTAGAATTTTCGGGGACTGGGTGCTAAGGACTTGGACTGCCTGCGGGGGGCGCCCTCGCGGCTGTGATACAACGTGCTTCTGCAGCCCGTGTTTCCTCTCCTGAATGCCCTCACATGTCCGCAGATCTACTACCTTTCCTTCCTGTTTTCACTTAGCAGGATTTCCTCCTATTCGGCGTTCCACTTTGTTCTTGTGAACATTGTTTTTTAGGTTGTGAAATATTCTCTTGACTGTACATACAATCTTTTAATTAGACATATATGAGCCATCACTTCATTAAAACCTACTCACATTGGTCTGTGCAGAAAATGGATTTATTGTCTAATGCACTCAAAAAGCTTAGGGGTGTAAGTGCGCTTCTGGTGTGCGGTGAGCCAGAGGATAAAAATGATATTCTCAGGCCTCCATCTTCATTTCTCAGACGGTCGTCCTCCACCTGCAGGCCAGATGGCCCCAACACCTCCAAGTGTGTCCCCTCCCACCTGGAAAGGGGCGGGGCAAAAGCCCAGAGACCCGTTCTGATTGGTCCTTGACTGGGTGCGTGCCTTGGCCTGTACTGGCTACTGGGAACTACCTGGTCTGGGAACAGCAAGAAGCTAGCAGATGAAAAGCAACAAAGATACACTAGCTGTCCCTCCCGTTTAGCAGCTCAGATCATTTCAGATTGCTGATTATACCTGGTGGTAAAATGAGTCATCTGTATGCCTAAGCTTGGTGCATTATTATCAGAATTCTTGTCTTAAAATAGAGTCCCTGAATGGGGACACCCAAAATAAAAAAGTGATCATACCAAGGAAAAGGAGGAGTCTTTCAGTAGAGCAATTATAGGACATTTGGGAAGATTTGCCAAGTGGAGGGGACAGAGTGCCACCACCCACATTTTGGACCACACCTGACAGACTGAGGTCTCGGGGTTCAACAGCTGAACCCCAGGCCTAGGCCATCGTGTTTTCTGCTTTTGTTGCTCTCAATTCTTTTAAAAATTTTTTCCATGAGCATAACTGTCAGTAAAAAGATTTCTCCACATTATATATCGTTCTATTAGTGTATGAGCATCCTTAAAGTTCAGAATAAACATTATTCACAATAATACATGGCCTAGCCTGGCCTATTTGGCTCAGCCGTTAGGGCCTTAGCCCCCGAACAGTCACAGGTTTGACTCCCCATCAAGGCCATGGACCCTGGTTGCAGGTTCCATCACTGGCCCTGGTTAGGGTTATGGGGAAGTAGCCCATTGATGTGTCTCTCTCACACCCATATTTCTCTATTTCTCTATTTCTCTCTCTCTCTCTCTCTCTCTCTCTCCCTCCCTCCCTCACACTCTAAAAAATAAATCAATGGAAAAATATCCTCAGGTGAATCATTCTGGATCTGCTGTGGGGCAGAGTAAAATTTGCCACCAAGAGGTTTTGAAATGGGTCAGAGCAGAACATTAATTAACTCCAAGGTCGGTCTTCTTCCAGTCCCCTCCCAAATGCTATCAAGCCACACCTACGTCCCATATAGTTCATCAGAGACTTTGCAACGAGATCAAGATTTAGCATAAAGCCCTGGCGGGTTTTGCTCAGCGGTTAGAGCATCGGCCTGCGGTCCAGAGAGACCCGGGTTCGGTTCCCGCTAAGGGCATGTACCTCAGTTGCAGTTTGTCCCCAGCCCTGGTTGGGTCGTGCGGGTGGCAGCCACTCGATGTGTCCCTTTCACATTGATGTTTCTCTCTCTCTCTCTCCCCTCTCTCCCTCCCACTCTATCTGAACAAAAAATGGGGGAAAAATGTCCTCGGATGAGGATAAAAAAAAAAAAGATTTAGCATAAAGATACTCCGATAGTCCAAGGCCAACAGAAAGAAACTGTATTGCATATAAACTCCCTTCCATTGCAAACTTCCCAAGGACAAATATTACAATTGATTTTCTTGCAAAATAAAGTTTAAAGGAATTAGTCTGAAATCAAATTGTGCTGCCCTCGTGAGTTAAAAGTTCAGAAAAATCAAACTCTTTTCAAGTCCAAAAGCAGCAAAGTCCAAAATCAAATTCTGTTTTAGAGTCCAGTGCAATTTTTAAAGTCAAAACTAAAGTCTTATTTCGTCCAGTTTCAGTTATGTTTTTAAACTTAGGAGTAATTTCAAACATAGAGAAGAGTTCAAGAATAGTACAAAGAACTCCCAGCTTCACAGCATTGAGCGCTGTCCCCGGGCCAGTTATCCAATCCCTGCGGCTCCGCTTCAAATCCACACACGAGTGCTGGCGTCGAGTGTGCAGCGCGGTGATCTCGGGGCTGGACCCTCTCAACCTTTCTGCTTTGCCCCTGCTCCGTGTTAAGCTTTGACAGTAGAGGGCGCACTGCAGGAGGAGGAAGCTCTGCTATGAACTCCTCTCGGTGTTCCTACCGGTGCGCAGCAGCCATCAGGTGGCATTCCAGTGGGCACCACCCCCAGTGAGTTCAGCATCACCCCCAGAGGCAATTTCCTGGTGAGTGCCATGGGAACTCCATGCGAACCGTCTGGCCCAGGCTTTCTGAAGGTGGCTTCTGCCCGCTGGACTCCCAGGGAGGCCGACAGTAGCCCCTCCACCCTGTGAGTTTTGCTGGTCCCCTAGGAGGCAGGCTCCTGCTACAGCCTCGGCCTGTAGCACCTCAGCAAACCTCTCTGCCTCCATTCCGTTCTAAAAAGTATTATTTACAAAAGCTACCACCCTTATCTGGGCAAAGCCACAGTTTGGGTATCTGAATTCTCAGACCACGGGAGAATGTAAGTGACGAACAGCCGGTGCAGTGAGGCATGCCCAGTGAGGCCTTGGAGCCCACGGACAAGTCTGAGGATTCAGAGTTGCACCCTCTCTTAGTCCAGAAGGTAGATCAAAATGATATTTAAAAAGAAGAGGAACAGAATTTGGGGCAAATAAATGAACACATACAAGGCACAATTTTTTAGAAACTGGGTAAATGCAATTCTCCTTCTCTTAGTATTATTTTTTAATCCTTGCCCGAGGATATTTTTCCATTTATCTTCAGGTAGAGTGGGAGGGAGGAGAGAGAGAGAGATTGATTGGCTGCCTCCCACACGACCCTGACAAGGGCTGGGGACCAAACTGCAACTGAGGTCCGTTCCCTTGACCAGTATCGAACCCAAGACTCTTTGGTTCGCGGGCCAACGCTCTAACGGCTGAGCCAAACCGGCCAGGGCCTCTTTTTCTTTTTAAAACATGTGGTGAAATGTACACAACATAAACTGTCCCGTTTGACCCATGTCTAAGTGTACAGTTCAGGACGCAAGTCCTCACACCGCTGTGCAGCCGTCGCCACCACCCATCGCCAGAACTTTTTCATTTTGCCAAACTGCGACTGTGCCCACTAAACATGACGTGGCAGCACTTAGCTGTTTGTGGATCAGGGGTCATCCAGGAATGAAAACAGAGGCCCCGGCTGGAAACAGTCAGGGGTCAAGTCGAGCGGCCACGAAGCCACAGTGCAAAGCTTTGCCTGGAGCTTGAGAGCCGCAGGGGCCCGGAGAAGGGTTTCTGGCCAGCGAGCTGCTCCGGCGGCACGTGGGACTGGCGGGCGGCATCCTGGGAGCGGGGTTAGACACGCAGGAGATCAGGCCTTTTCCAAGACCTCCCGAAACCAAAGCAGCAATCTGCCAAGGTCCCGGGACTTGCGGACACATTAAGTCTGAGAAGTGCTGGTGTGTGAGGGCCTTAGGGTCTCGGTCGTGGTTTATAAATGTCACCACGATGGAAAAAACGGAGGGTGTGGGGCTTCTCCTGGCCAAGGTTCTGTCCAGAGTAAATACACTCCTTCCTCTGAGCTGTTTACCATAATAGGTTTCATTGTGATGAGAAAGTCAAAATATGCCTGTGCCTCCCCCTACCTGGCGACAAGCGGTTACTTACTTATCAAGCTCTTCGTCCTCTGTCCACACGGCACAGCAGGCAGTGGTCAGCTGTGGCCGGGACCCTTGGCAACCCAGCTCAAAGCTGCCTCATCTCATTCACCTGAAATTCGAAAGGTAGAGAGATGCACCCTTACCTTGTAGGAGCAAAAAGCAGGCCAGCTAAGGAGAGGGTCACCTGCATCCACATGCCGTGCACACGGGAGACCCGAGTAGCTATTCCCCTGGCCGAACTGTGCTTTCTGTGACTGTGAAAGGCAAGAGACATCTATGCACTCACCTTACGTGGTTGTTCGGAGCAAATGGGAGGAAATGGATGTGAAGCCCTTTATTAAATAATATGCCAATCAGGATATTAGTTGTATGGCGATTCACGGGTGGTGGGATCAAAGGATTTGTGTCTGCTTCCTCTTGTTTATCCGAAATGTCTGCAAAATGAAATATGTCAGTTTTGAATAAAAAGCCAAAAAGATGGAAGCGTCATCTAGATAAATTCTGAAAGGTAAGTCTAAGATATCATGCATCAGAATCTGTCTTCTGTGCGCCTAGAACTAGCAGCACGCCATGGAAATATTCTGGGACGGGGAGGAAGCCGATGGCTGAGGCCCAAGGAACTTTCCTCCACTTGCTCCAAGCACAGGACCGGCCTTGAGGCTAAACTGCAGAGTTTTTGACTTGGAAAAGCACATGGGAACAGCTGATTGGACATCGGTGGAGCGGGAGCGCGGGAGGGAACGGGGCGGCGCCGGGAAGACGGAGGGAAGGGGCGGCGCAGCTCTGCCCCGGGAGCGGGCCCTCAGCCCCACACAGATCCCCAGCTGAGAGCAACAGGGAAGGGGAGGGGTGCCCTCGTGGCACCGGACAGTGGGGGCCAGAGGTGGCTCGGCCCACCGGGGCACTCAGCACTGTCCCAGGCTAAAGGCCAGTGTAGGGTCCCAACACCAGCTGGGAAGCTCGCCCTGACTGTGGGCGCCAGGGGGACACAGAGCAGGACGGCAGACCTGAGCGGGGATCTGAGGGTCACCGGCCATGACTCTGAGGGGCCGAGTTTTTGCTGAAAGAACTTTAGCGGGGGCTGAGCAGAGTGCAGGGAAAGAGGCGTGACCCCCCACCTCCCTTCCCCCACCTGTGGTACAGCTCTGGGCTGGAAGTCGGCCCGGGCGGCAGGGCCTGGCGGCGCTGGGGATCCAGCCTTCAGGCCAGGTGGGGGCTGGGCAGAGTGCAGGGAAAGAGGCGTGACCCCCTACCTCCCTTCCCGCACCTGTGGTACGGCTCTGGGCTGGAAGTCGGCCCGGGCGGCAGGGCCTGGCGGCGCTGGGGATCCAGCCTTCAGGCCAGGTGGGGGCTGGGCAGAAGCCCCGCCCAGCGAGAGCCAGCCGCGCTGAAAGAGGAAAGATCCAAGTGAGGCCTCTCTCTCTCTCTCTCTCTCTCTCTCTCCCCCCTCCCCTGCCCGGGGTGGCGACCAGGGGGTGCCCAAGCAGAGCGGAGGCATTGGAAGGAGAGAAAGAGGCCGCCTGCCCCTCCTGTAAGCTGCAGGCACCACCCCCAATGCAAATGTTTGAACCATCCCGACTGGACCCGACGTTCCACGGAGCCCAGAGCCCTGGGGAAAGGGAACGCAGCCAGAACAAGCACATTCTAGTGGCGAGTGGGAAGCAGAACCAGCCTCTGGGCTGGAGAAGCCCTGCCCACAGAACCGCCCACAGAACCGCCGGGATCCCACCCTTCAGGGCCTCAGCCAGGAGGCCCAGGGCCAGGCAGAGAGAGGTTCACATTGGCCTGCTCCAGAGACCTGCCCAAGAGGACAGGGACCCACACACCGAGGGGCCAGATCCAACATTGGAGGAAAATCCAGTGAGCTCCATAAGTAGCAGATCCAAGATATTTTCTTCGTTGTGCTGGTTGTTTGGGTGTGTGTGGTTTTTTAATTTTTATTTTTTTATTCAATTTTTTTCCTTCTTTTCTTTTCCTATTTTTTTACTTTCCTATCCTATATTTTATTCAACTTAGCATTATTACTTTCTAAAATTATTATTATTTCAGTCATTATTTTCTACCTTTTATTTTTTATACTTACCCTAATTTCTGGTCTCTGCCGTCTTTGCTTTCATTTTTTTTTTTTTCTCTTCCTCTCCTAACTCTTTCCGTCTCATGCCTTCTAGTATTCTTCGTGTGTGTGTGTGTGTGTGTGTGTGTGTGTGTGTTCTGTTTGCTTGTCTTTTAATCTTTATATTGAGGCTGGTGCTTTTATCGTTGCTGATGTAGATTTTTTTTAGGTTCTTTTTGATTTGGTCTGGTCTTGCCTTCCTTACTGTCATATTACAAAGAATTTTTAATATATTTTTATTGATTTTCAGAGCAAGAGGAAAGGAGAGAGAGAGAGAAGCATCGATGATAGAGAAACATTGATCAGCTGCCTCCTGTATACTCCCCACCAGGGACGGAGTCCACAGCCTGGGCATGTGCCCTGACCAGGAATCAAACCGGTGACCTCTTGGTGCATGGGTCGATGCTCAACCACCAAGCCACACTGGCCGGGCTAAAAAAAATTTTTTTTTTCTCCCTCTTCTAATTCTTTTGGTCTCGTGCCTCCTAATATTCTTTGTGTGTGTGAGTGAGTATGTGTGTTGTTTGTTTATCTATAATTTTTTTTTTTTTTTTTTTGGTGGTACGTGCCCCTAGCAGGAACTGAACCCGGGACTCTCTGGTCCGCAGGTCAATGCTCAACCGCTGAGCCAAACTGGCCAGGGCTATCTATAATCTTTTTGTTGAGGCAGTTGCTTTTATTATTGTTGATGCTGGTATTCTTGGGGGGTTCTTTATGGTTTGGTCTGGTTTTGCTTTGTTTTCTTCTGTCAACATTTGTATAACAGTTGGCACAACAGGGTCAGGATTGAAACTAACAGTCAACAACCCTGAGGGCTGAGCCCACCCACAAACGGAAAACAGCAGTCAAGACCCAAATTCAACAGGAGAGCCCACATAACCCACACAGGGTCATTCCTAGTGCACCCAGCTCAGAAGATCAAGGGGACTGCCCCACTGGTCCCACGAGAAGAACCCCACACCAAGACTGGACGGCATAGCAGTCTTATCTGATACACACTGACCTGCCTTCACATCCCAGTGCACCTCACCTGACCCCAAACTACCTACCTGGCTGCTAAGATGGCGAGACAAAGAAACAACCCTCAAATAAAAGATAAGGAGAAATCACCAGAAAAGGAACTAGACGAAATGGAGGAAAGCAGTTTGTCATATAAAGAATTCAAAGCAATGGTTTTAAGGGTGCTCAAACAACTTAGTGAGGATTACAAGCAACTTAATGAGAATTATGAAGAGCTCAGTGGAAACTATACCAGCATAAAGAAAGAGGTAGAAGCTATGAATAAAAATCAAGTGGAAATGAAGAATGACATAGCTGATGTAAACAATACCCTGAAAAAATTTAATATTGAATTAGAAGAACCTGAAGATCGAGTCAGTAAGTTAGAAGACAAGGTAGGGTGGAAAAAAACAACAACAACCCATCCAGTTAGAGTAGCAGATGGAAAAAAAAAATTAAAAAGCAGGAGGAGGATTTAAGGGAGCTTTGGGACAAAATGAAAAAAAGTAACAACATTCACATCATAGGGGTACAAGAAGGAGAATAATCAGAGAAGGGAATCAAGAAACTGTTTGAAAAAATAATGACAGAAAACTTCCCTAACCTGGTGAAGGAAAAAGTCACACAAGTCAAGGAAACACAGAGAGTCCCAATCAAGATGAACTTAAAAAAGACCCACACCACCCTGGCCGGGTTGGCTCAGCAGTTAGAGCATCGGCCTGCAGTCCACAGAGACCCAGGTTCGGTTCCCATTAAGGACATGTTTTGTACTTTGGCCGCAGTTTGTCCCTAGCCCTGGTTGGGTCGTGAGGGTGGCAGCCACTCGATGTGTCCCTTTCATGTTGATGTTTCTCTCTCTCTCTTCCCCTCTCTCCCTCCTGCTCTATCTGAAAAAAAAAAAAAAAAGACCCACACCAAGACACATCATAATTAAAATGGCAAACATTAAAGATAAACATTTGCATCTTAAAGGCAGAAAAGAGAGACAGAAAGTTACCTGCAAGGGAGCTCCCATTAGACTGTCAGCTGATTTCTCAATAGAAACACTGCAGGCCAGAAGGGAGTGGCAGGAAGTATACAAAGTAATAAAAAGCAAGGCTCTGAATCCAAGACTACTCTATCCAATAAGGCTATCATTCAAAATTGAAGGTGAAATAGAGAGCTTCGCAGGCAAAACAAAAAACAAAAACAAAGAACAGCTAAAGGAATGTACTACCACCAAGCCAGCACTGCAAGAAATGCTGGAAGAAGAAGAAATAGAGAGAGAAACACATGCATAAAGAATTAAAATGGTGCCCTGGCCGGTTTGGCTCAGCGGTTAGAGCATCAGCCTGCGGTCCGGAGAGACCCGGGTTCGGTTCCCGCTAAGGGCACGTACTTCAGTTGCAGTTTGTCCCCGGCCCTGGTTGGTCATGCGGGTGGCAGCCACTCGATGTGTCCCTTTCACATCGATGTTTCTCTCTCTCTCTCTCTTCCTCTCTCTCCCTCCCACTCAATCTGTACAAAAAATGGAAAAATGTCCTCGGGTGAGGATTAAAAAAAAAAAAAAAAGAATTAAAATGGCAGCAAATAAGTACCTATCAATAATCGCCTTAAATGTAAATGGCTTAAGTGCTCCAATCAAAACACATAGGGTAACTGAATGGATAAGAAAACATGACCTACCCTGGCCAGTTTGGCTCAATGGTTAGAGCACTGGCCCCCAGACCAAAGCACTGCGGGTTTGATTCCGGTCAAGGGCACATACCTCTGTTGCAGTTCAGACCCTGGCCCTGATTGGGGGTATGGGGGAGGCAACCAATTGATGTGTCTCTCTCACACTGATGTTTCTCTCTCTCTCTCCCCCCTCCCTCCCACTCTATCTGAAGATAAAAACTGGTGTAGCAATACTCATATCTGATAAAATAGACTTCAAAATGAAGGCCATAATAAAAGACAAAGAAGGTCACTACATAATATTTTTAATATGTTTTTGTTGATTTTTTAAGAGAGAGAGGAAGGGACGGAGGGAGAGAAACATCGATGTGAGAGAGAAACATCAGTCAGCTGCCTCCTGCAGCCCCCTACTGGGATCAAGCCTGGAACTGGGAATTATCATTTGTCTTAGTTCACTCAGTTATGTTGAAATAACTTTCTAGGACCAAGATGGCAGGGCTCTTGCCTGGGGTGCTGCATCAGCAAAACTCAGGTAACTTCCATGTGCCTTTAAGGCAGGGCTCTGCTCGACGGGAAACGCAGTGTGTCCAGTCAGGCGAGCCCCAACATCAAGCCAGCGCTAGGCCTTCTCACCCCAAACAAAGTAAAATGTGTGGCCCCAGCCAATAAGATCTTTTCTGTTTGTCTTTTCCTTGTTCCTTATTTATTTTACCCTATAAAAGCCGCCTGGCTTCCACCTCATTTTGCATTTCTCCAAATGGAGACTGTCTGTTTCATGAAGTGCTATGAAGTTTGTTTTTGTCACACCTAAATCGTATTCTTTCATCTTTCTTTTCTTTACTGATGTTAGAGAGAGAGAGGACGGGAAGGGGGAGAGAGATAGAAACATCGATGAGAGAGAACATCGATTGGCTGCCTCCTACATGCCCCCCCCCCCCCCCCCCCCGGGGATCAGGCTCACAACCTGGGCATGTGCCCTGATCGAGAATGGAACCAGCGACCTCTTGGTGCATGGGTTGACGCTCAACCACTGAGCCACACCGGCCGGGCTAATCTTTTTTTTTAAACAGCATAGTTAGCATAATGTCTGCAAGGTTTACTCATGTTGTAGCATTATCAGAATTTCATTCCTTCTCAAGGCTGAGTAATATTCCACTGCATGTCTATTCCATGTTTTATTTGGCCATCCTTCCATTAGTGGACATTTGGGTTATTTCTACCTTTTAGCTACTGTGAAAAATGCTGCTATGAACATGGATGTGCACATGCCTGTTATAGACCCCACTTTCAATTATTTGGGGTGTGCACCCAGAAGGGATATTGCTGGATCATATGGTAAAGCTATCTTTACTATTTCTAGTAACTGCCATAGTGTTGGCAGTGACTGCACCATTTTATACCCAACAAGCAATGCACAAGGGTTTCAATTTCTTTACAATCTCACCAACACTTGTTACTTCCTGTGTTTTGTGTTTTTTGATAATAGTCATCCTCATGGGTATGAGGTGGTATCTCGTGGTGGTTTTGACTTGTATTGCCCTAAATGATTAGTGATGTTGACCATTTTTTCATGCGCTTACCGGCCATTTGTATATCTTCTTTGGAGAATTGTCTGTTCAAGTCCTTCGCCCATTTTTTTTCAATTAGGTAGGTTGTTTTTTGTTGTTAATATTTTTTTTGTGTAGACCTGGTGCTGGATGCTTATTTTGCATGGACCAGCTATTTGTGGGATTCAAATAAGGATGAAGCCAGGGCTGTGTTGTAGGCTAGCAGAACTGTTCTTTCTGACCTAGGGGCTTCTACTTGAGTTTTCTGTCTTTACTTCTCCAAGGAAAGAAACTGGTCAGCTTTCAAACTGTGCACAATGCAGGCTGATTTCTCTTCTCTGTCTCAGGGACAAACTGCACCCTACAAATATGACTGTTCTCACTATGTTCATCCTTTAGTCCTGTCTTCACTGCTTCTTGCAACCAACCCAGATTAGTGCCAACCCACACACCTTATTCTTACTGTCTGGAGAAGGGATTTCAGTTTTGCACTTTGCGAATACCCCTCCCCTTGAAGAGGGGCTTTCCCCCTGAAATCGGTAGCCATTGCCTACTTTTCCTGAAATCTTCAGTTATCATCTTCCTTTCCCCTTCTCCTCCCAAAGCCTCGCTCATTCCCAGTGCTTTTGGCATCATTTTAACCTACTTTTTCTAGCTTCTAATAGATGGTACTTGTATCATTTTTTTGTTGCTATTGGATAGTTGCCAAGAGAAGAGAAACTGATCATTTGATCCATTCACCTTCACCCCAAGAGTTCACACAAAAAGTTCTGAGCATCATCATATTATAATGCAGACGGGAACCAGACGTGACATCAGAAGAAACAGACTTTAGTTTCCTCCCTCTACCTCTCCTACCTCCTGGACAACTTCCTCTGACAGTCTTTAAAGGATTCCCCTTGTTCCTCATTCCCTCCACAATCCTGGCACCTCCCAGGGTTCCAGCCTCATCCCTTTCCCACCAAGTTCATGGTCTTCATGGGTTTTACATGTTTATGAATTCCCAGGTCTGAGTCACTAGGTCTCAGCCACTGCCGCTCTGAGTGACAGCGGGTCTGTTTTCCTCTTTAGAGGTGAAGCTGCCTCCCTTCCGGCCCAGACCCATCATCACCGCAGAAAGAGAGGCACCAAGGTGACCCGAGAGGCACCAGGCCCACGGCACCAACTGGGATCCTCTCAGGTAACCTCCTCTTCCCTTGGCCAATTCTTTTGACTACAGTTCACAATCTCAACCTGCAACAGGTGACCCTACAGACTGGGAAGTGACTCGGGGCCCTGAATGTGGGTGATCCCAGTTCCTGAAGTGAAGGTGAGGGTCTAAGGTTCCCATGAGACCTGTTCATACTCCTCCTACGATTATAGGCATCTCATCCTGGGTCTCTTAGTTACAGAGACCGTAATTGATGCGCTCCAAATCAGAATACATATTCGGATGACCCCCTCTGGCCCCTGGGACTGTCAGCTGGCAGGCTCGGAGGTCAGGCTGGAGGTTATCATCTGCTTGTGCCATCAGGACCCCTGGAAGTCCCTGAACTTGGCCTTGGTCCAGCCGCACCCCTCACTCCGTGTCCTTGGCAGAGAACACAGCCTCGGAAAAGCAGGACAGCACCTCTCACCTCCGGGGCGGTCCTGGGTCTCTGCAGCACAGTCCTTCGGCAAAATGGATTTAATTATGTGACTTAATCCAAGAGAGTCTCTTCCTCCCGCTAAACCCGAACCCAGACCCCAGAAGATGGGCCTCCAGCTGATGAGCTGGGGGGGCCCAAGGGAGAGATGTGGGAGCAAGATGGACCAGCTGGGGCGGTTCGCCCCTCCCCCGGGGAGGAGAGGACAGAGAAGAGGGGGCCGCCTGCGTTGCTGTGCGGTCCTTGGACACAAGGGGACCAGCCTGTACCAGGCGTGCCCCTCGGCGTCAGGGCACCTGCACCGAGCAGAGGACGATGCCCCTCGGGAGGAGGAGGCCGGGCAGGCCAGAGGAGGGTGACGCCTTTCCAGGTCGCGTGATATTCTGAGCTTTCCCAGGAGAAGATTCACAACTGACTTCAGAAAGGTGATGGGATATGAAACGTGCTGATCCGTGAGAGCAGCTGTGAAAGTGATGGAACACAAGGCAGGGTTCTATCTGCCTCCAATCCCAGGTCCAAATCGCCAAGGCTGGACAGTCGCCTAAAATTG